CGATCAAAATATTCTCTAAACTATAATTAAATACCATAGACTTAAGAGATCTATAAAACTGGACACCCGATATTTAAATATATATACATGGGACCAAATGTGAAAACCGTCATTTTTTTATTGTAATAATTGTAATATATATTGGAAGTGAATTGAAAAAAAATTATTTTATTATTCAAACATAAATAAACGAAGTTAGGTTAGAATTGACGTGTGAGGGTATCCCATATTGATTACTCGATTACCGCAAGGCCGAGATAATCAACAAAAAAAGAAGATGTATTTGGTGACTTTTCTAGTAACTTTCTTGAGTGTGAATCTGTCTTTTTGGTTTACTCCTCCTGGTTAAAAAACAGAGTATAGTGACTAGTGCAACTAGTAATAACAGATAACAGTGAAAATTGAACTAATGCCAGTGTTGCCATATATAAGTTGCATACAATCAGAAGATATAGAAATCATGCAAATGTGATTTTTTTTTTCGAATTTTACGAATTTTTTAAAATTTATTTATGCAACCGTGAACTTGTTTGCAATTGTGTTGTTTGTTTAAAAATATGTTACAATTATAGATTATGTTACATATTTTTTTATCATAATTTAAAAGAAAATTTATATTACAATTCGATGATTACGTTACAAGTGACAACGATGGTCGACGCTAGGCCCGATCGTCTGGTGCCTACACAGCGAGCATAAACACGCCAATATAAGTGTACACCTACATTGGAACCGTATTTCTCCCGATCCGATATCTGGCGACGTCGGCCGACGTCGGATTAAAAACAAACTCAAGGTAATAAATCAGAGTGCCTATACTGCTTCGTCACGGAAGCAGTATAGGCACTATGATTTAATACCTTGAGTTTGTTTCCAATCCGACGTCGGCCGACGTCGCCCGATATCGGATCGGGAGAAATACGGTTATAATGTAGGTGTATACTAAATCGTTGTCCGGCAAACTGCTAACTTCAAACGCTTTTTGTACGGGGATCTTATGTGCGCTGGGTCGGCCAGTTACTATCGGGCCTATTAATGATATTTAAAATGCCTGAATACGATTTGATGCTTTCTGTGGTAATATAATAACATAGTTGTTTTAGCGGACGCTAATGTATTGAGTGATTTAGTACATTTAAAAGTTATTTACATGCATTAACATAATTTTTGAATATATATTTTTCAATTTTAAAGCTCTTAAAATTATTAGGTAGGCCCGGCCTATCCTGCCTACCCCCAAAAGCCGCCACTGGTCCTTCTCTTCCTTATTGTTGGCGTCTTTAATTTTGATGATTTTTTAACCTCTGTTGTTTTCAACAGAGGCTTAAACGACATGTTTTCACGACTAACACTGAACTGCTCCGCACTGCAGTAAACAAAGTAGAGATAGCCGTGATGATCGCCAACATCCGGAACGGATAGGCACTTTAAGAAGAAGAGTTGTTTTCAATGACTTGCTCTATTAAGTTCTTGTTCCATTTTTGTATGTCGCGTTTTAGTTCTTTTCTAATTGTTTTATTAAGTTCTCAGTATTGTTGAGTATAGCGTTTGTTTTGCGCTAGTAGTTATCTTCTTTCCGTCATTAGTTGTTTAGTTTTATTGCTTATTTTGTCTTCTTTAGTCCTTGTTTTCTTTGAGACCTGTAGTCCGGCTGTGAGAAGGTTTTTATTTATGTTTTTATTAATCTCTTCAATTTGATCTTGATTATGTGAAGGATCAGATTCGAACTTATCCGCTAAGACCTCTCGGAATTGCTCTTCATTTGATTTTAGTTTAAAGGCATCTATCATCGTTGTTTTTTTTTAAATCTTTTTTCTCTCTTCTTTCATGTTAATATTTATTTTTGTTCTAACTATACGATAGTCACTACCCGTTGTTACGTTGTTTATTGTTGTGGCGTTTTCAAATATTCCTTTGTTGTTTGAGAGAAAATAGTCTATTTCATTTTTGGTAGTTCGGTTAGGTGCGACCCATGTCCACTACGACTTAGGCCGTCCGCACATGAAGCTACTAAAAATAAACTAAACTAGTTGGTAACTAGAATTACCAACTGTTTACTTAACTGTGACTCGCACACTACACTACTGAAAATTAATAGAAACGAGTCACTTCTTGCCTGTACGAGTAGCTTTGTTATAGGGTGTTTAAATTTTAACCTTTATAATATATTATTGAGTATTACTATTGCGTTAAAAATGTCTAGTGACTAAAGTGATGAAGATATTATTCTTTATTATTATAATAGAAGACGTGAAATGCAGAAAAAAGGAGGTATTGGGATCATCCCTATATTGCAAACAATATAAATTGCAAAGCCTTTGTTGTATAGGCAGGGATTTTTCCACTTCTTGCACTAATTTTATATTAAATGACTGTTCTACCAATTTCGCCATTTCGCGTGTAAACTTTAAAAATATCACAACAAACTAGAAACTAGTCCCCAAGCGACCTGCTCGTCTAGTCTGCTGTCGACTGATCACAGATGCATTAGAGACGCTACTAGCCCTTTCGCTGCGTCAAATAAATACATATCGCTGACCACTGCGGCAGTAGTTTTTTAACACTAAATGCGATATTTGTTCAACAATTGTTTTTTGTACATATGTTAAAACCGATAATTATAATTTTTCTTCTGAATTTTTGCAAGGCGCACATGTGCGCTGTACGCAGTTTTCAAGGAATTTATTTTAAAAATGCTGAGGACGCACTTGTGCGCTTGATACAAATTTTTGTATTTAGTAAATTAAATCGACTTTTTTGATCCAAACTAAAATTTTATTTATTCAAACAGGATGTAAAATAAACAAATAAAATACAATGTAAAGTAAAATTATACAAAATATTCATTTTTTTGTAATGTCTTTCTATATTGATACATGATATTCTCTGAAACATTTGCCTAAGCAGAGACCAGGTTTATCGGGACATTCTTGGCAATGATAAATAGTATTCTTACGTATGTTATTTTTATTGCATGTCCGACATTTTTTTCTAAGAGTTTTACCACGTTCATTATGTAACTAAATTTTTGAAGGTGTGTGGTTTACACCCGAAGTAACTGCTACTTCTGCCGTTACAACTGCTGTTCCTTGACACTTTTCTGGTAACAACTTTTCAAGTATTGACAATCGAAACTTATAATATGACATTTTGTTATTTCCGTGGTACTTATTATACAATCTATAAGCATTTTGCAAATATAGCTGAAACAGATATATGCCAATTTTTTTGTACCAACGTAAAGTTTTGCGTGTCGGCGGATAATAAGAAGACATTTGGTCTTGAAGATCTACTCCTCCCATATATTTATTATATTTAATGATTGGCAGTGGTTTAATTTTCTCATCCCCTCGTCTATCTCTTACGGTTACCATCTCATTTTTATATTCAGTTGAAATGTAAATGATATCTCTTTTGTCTCTCCATTTTCCAACCATTACGTTGTTGAGGTAAATACTTTTGGTCTGTCCTTTTTTTAACTTTGCTTCTATGACGTTTTTTGGACAGCCTTTTCTATCTTTTCTCAGAGTGCCTGTACAAAAACTATTTTTATCCAGTAGTAATTTGGCCAAGTTATAACTATTGTAATAGTTGTCCATATGAAGCGAATGTCCATGGTCGAATTAGGCATTAGGTGTAGCACCACTCTTTCTGTATGAGACTTACCAGCAGTTGCATCACCTGCACCAGCATATATATCGATATCCAAAATGGTTGAATTGGCTTCTGTCAGCATATAAAGCTATACTCCATACTTATGTCGTTTCTTAGGGAGATATTGCTTAAATACCAGTTTTCCTTTCCACAAGATCATAGATTCGTCTAGAGATAAATACTTTCCTGGATAGTATACCGTCTTCATTTTGTTATTAAAATGATCTAGCAAGGGTCTTACCTTTATAGTCGACCTATAGTCGATCTACTGGAACTGGTTCATTTTCTGCAAAATGAAGGCATTACATTATATGCAAATAGCGGTCTCTACTCATGTATGAAGAAAAACAACTCGAAAATAATCTATTTTTCTTCCAGTAGTCTTGTATGCTAGGCAATTGGATTGTTCCTGTATGGAAGGTTAATCCAATAAATATTAGCAATTCCGATATTGTTAATTTCTTCCATAGGGAAATCCTTGAACGGTCACATCCTTTGCTTGTAGAAAAAACTTCAACTGCATAACTGTTAGTTTGTAAGACAATCATATTTAAAGGTTCATCGTCAAACAACAGCCTAAATCAATCGTACGCACTATCACCAAGACTATCGACTAACAATCCACTTCTTTTTGTAAATGGAATTTGTTTCATACCGCTAGTTGTTTCGGTCCATTCATTGTCTATAATATGTACGTCAGGATTATCTGCAACGGTATTATTTAACTCGTTCTGTAGTACATCAACTTTACGTCTGAAGGTCCAGCTTTATTTAAATCGGCCATTATTATACAAATAATTAAACTTATAATCAAACTAAACCGTTTGAAACGACAACACATTTGAAAACCTAACTATGTGAGTAACTGATCTGCGACGCCACCTATGAATAGCTTTGCAAACCTAACCACATGATTCACCGAGCTGCGACGCCACCTATGAATAGAAGTGACTTTTAATAAAATGCGGACAAAGTTTTCTTGATCTCCTGAAACTGAGTCAATTTTAAATGTATATGGAAATCACCATATACATAGGCCGCTCATGTGCGCCATGCGCATTTTACAAAGAAATGGGAGGGCGCGCATGTGTGTTTTACGCAGCGAAAGGGCTAGTAGCGCTGTGTGCGCCGTGCGGATACTCATTAAAATACATGGACAGTAACTACAACTGGTTTCTTTTTAGTAGCTTCATGTGTAGACGGCCTTACCCAGAAATAGTACTTTACCAAAATATACAGGAACAGTTAACAGGTTAACAGTTTTACCTTGTCTTGACACAAATGCTTAATTTATTATCTTCAATGAAATAAATACCTTTTTGATTTTATCTTATTTATTTTTATTTACAATAAATTAATTGTGTTCACTTGACAAATAAAATCTACAACTTATCATTTTTGAAAATAAAAATGAAATAGCTACCAGCAGATCGGAATATGGACTTATATGCTATTTAATATACCAAATATGACCCTATAGGACAGTGTATAATGTGTTAGCTATACCAAAGTCTAGATTCATAGTGTAAACACACACGGTGTTTACACTGCTTCTTAACCCATATTGCAGTAAGTATGCCTACCAATGGAATGTAAAATGTTTTCTTTCTTTATAGTCGGATGCCATTTAAATTACTACTTGGTATATTATCATAATTGCTCGAAAACAGAAAAATAAATTTAAGTGAATAATATTTAATTATTATTAGTAATAATACTATTTTATGACCAGCTCATTTTTCTAACCATAACAGAGGACACAGTTCTATCTTATAATTTTTTTCCAAGATAATAAGTCCAATTCCGATTTACTTAACATAAGCTTGAAAATACAACTAATTTTTCCAGCTATTACGTCATGGCTAATTTTCTTTTAAGTGTTACAAAGGCGATGGTTCTGAAAGTTAGGAATGTGCAGGTAAGGTAGATAATGTCTACCCAATAGTTCGGTTTATTCATTCCGATATCTTTGAGAACCAGCTCTGGTGACACGTACTGACAGAACTCTGCTTCTTCTGGGCAATGAAGCGGGCCTCTGTCGTATCCATATATAGCTTGCATCACTCCTAAAAAAATAAGAATATCATTTTTACATTCATACTGTATCTTAGAAATGGATGTCTTTTGGCTGGCCACTGATAACAAAAAGTTTAGGTATACACTATGTGTCAGCTAAATGGAATAAATTAGCTAATAAATAAATGAGGGAGTATTCGAAAAAACGGTCGAACACGTCGATTAGTATTTATAGTTGCGCATTTTTTTCATAAAAACTTTTTATACGGGTTGTATCAGATAATGGTGGCCAATACCAACTTGCCTTTTTTAATATAACATTCTGTATATTAATTAATTTTTAGATTCCTCAGAACATTTTAGACATTTTTTGAATACGATGTCCTATATCTATCTTTGACTGTTTCGGAAATATTAAGTAAAATGCACACAACGAACGTCTCGAAGATGGTAGATGGAACAAAGAAGTCGGAAACTGGCGACCGTACGATGCGAAGAGACCAAGAGGAAGACCTCAAATGCGCTGGAGCGACGATATCAAAAGAGTCGCAGGACCAATGTGGAAACGCCTAGCACACAACATGGATGAATGGCGAGAAATGGGAGAGGACTTTATTCGACAATTCGGATAGAAAAAGGGCTATAAAAAAAAGTAAAATGCAAAAATTGACATTTAGAATAGAAAATTATTTATTTTTCGAAAGTCGCTACCACTGTCTTAATAATTCTTGCCCATTAAGGTCTTGGTAATGATAAAGTAAGGAAAAACTATTTAAGCATTCCTTTTTATTGATATGTTAAAAAAAAAAACAAAAATTGTTTACGTTGGTTTACAACGCCAATGTTTTATTGTTCCATGAGAGAAGTAGTTGTCAGTGCTATAGTCATATGAATTTCATTAACTGCAAGCCAAGAAATCATTCATTTAACCGAAATCAAAATAACAATTATACAGATGATTGGCTATGGACATAAGAGACGGACGCAAATGGAAGTAGCTCGTTTATTTCAGGAAGCACTTCCTGATTTGCTGCACATATCTCAAGAGACAATTAGTAAAATAGAAAAGCAATTCCACGAGCTGGGCCATATTAGGAAGGTAAAAAAGAAGCTGCCAATGCAATAAGTGAGGATTAAAAATTGGCTGTTATGCATGAGTTTGAGGAACACCCACATACATCTGTTCAAAAAGCAGCCCCAGTTCTCGATATTAGCTATTCATCGGTTATTCGAATATTACAAGAAAACAAAATGCATCCCTATAAAATTACACACACTCAGAAGCTTATGGAAGATGATTTTGACAGGAGAATGTATTTTTGTGAACAAATGATGCCAATGTTAGACAGCAATATGATCCAATTAGAACATGTTTTGTTTTCTGATGAATGCACCTTTACTCTTCACGGTCATGCTAATAAGCATAATTGCCGCTATTTGTCTAGGGAAAATCCTCATTGGATAAGAGAATGCAATACTCAATACTATGAGAAGGTTAACGTGTGGGCAGGAATTATTGAAGATCAGATTTAGCATTGCTCCAAAATAATGTAGTGCCAACGTTGACCAACTTGTATCCCGATCCAAGAAACCTACAAATTCCAGCGAATATGATATGGCTTCAACAAAATGGAGCACCACTCCACTACCAAATCCACGTCCGGCACTACCTCAATCAAATATTTCCACATCGGTGGATAGGGAGGCGAGGATCGATAAAATGGCCACCATGATCCTCCGATTTGGCGCCATTAGACTTTTTCTTATGGGGATATGTAAAAAGTATTGCATACAAAACTAAACCCGCTGACTTAGCTGACTTACAAAGACATATAACGCTTGCTATTAAATCGATCACATCTGAGATGTTGAGTAACGTTAGAAGAAATTTCTATTCACGGTTAGGATGTTGCCAAGACGTTCGTGGAGAGCATTTGAAACATCTCCTAAATTGACATTATTATTTAGATTTGTATTATTTATAAGTTTTTAAATATGTTGTAGCGACTTTCGACAAACAAATAATTTCCTTTTCTAAATGTGATTTTTTGCATTTCACTTAATATTTCCGAAACAGTCAAATATAGGTATAGGACATTGTATTATATATATATTAGACAAAAAATGTCTAAAATGATCAGAAGAATCTAAAAATTATTTAATATACAAAGTGTTCTATTTAAAATAAGCAAGTTGATATTAGCCACCATTATCTGATACACCCCGTACAAAAACAAATTATGGAAAAAAATGAGCAACTATAAATACTAATCGACGTTTCGACCGTTTTTTTTAATACTCCCTTATTTATTTATTGGCTAATTTATTCATTCCATTTGGCTGACACAGTGTATATCCAAAATATCGTTGATTTAAACCTAAACACAAAATAACTACAAAAATACTCCTATCTACGGATTCATCAATTTTTTAATGGAACCATTTTTATATAAACAATTAAAACGTCAAACTCATTACTTTGCTTATAACTTAAAAACTGATATAGTCTATTTAGAGATTGACGTCAACAGACAACTTTTTCAAAAGCAAAGGGATACAAAAAATGAGATATTTTGCTAAATTAAAATCGGTTAATTCACAAAAAAGTTATTGCAAAATGAACAACAAAATTCTTGTTTTTGAATATTTTTAATAACTATTCTAATATTTATTAACATTTGTTTAAATGTACCTAAAATTAAGGTTTTAATTGTATTTGTATTCTTCGCAAAAGATGAGCCAAATTGAATAAATAGTTTTTGTAAAATTTATTCTGTTTATAAGAGTTTTTAAAAAAACAGCCAATTTATATGGCTGTTCCAGTTAATTTGACTGGATGGATCTCAATAGTCAGGGGATTATTTTTTTTTTTGTTAAGACGTATACCTATAACCTATAACCTTATAAACATTTACAAAAACTCAGTAGAATTTAGTTTAAAATAAATGGCAACAAATATTGGGAAAGCTGGTTAAAAAACAAAACTTGTTAAAAAATAAAAATAGAAGGCTCAGGCTATATCAAAAAATACAAAAGTAAAACTCTACAAAACAATAATACGCCAAGTTCTAACATATTGTTCAGAAACCTGGACTTTAACAAAAAGCAATGAAAACATGTTAGGATGTTTCGAAAGAAAAATACTGAGGCGAATCTATGGAGCGGTAAATGAAAATGGTGTCTGGAGAAGACGATACAACTTCGAACTCTATAGAATATACCAGGAATCAGATATCTAAAACACATTAAGATAGGACGTCTGAGGTGGGTAGGCCATGTAATGCGGATGGAGCAAACCGACCCAGCTAGAAAAACGCTCCTTGATAGACCTATTGGCCAAAGAAGAAGAGGAAGACCCAGAACAAGATTCCTAGATAACATAGGCCAAGGTATGAGAAATATGGAAATACGTGCTTGGCGGAGGAAGGCGATGGATAGGGACAACTGGAAGAGAATTCTTGGGGAGGCTAGGACCCACACAGGGTTGTAAAGCCAAAATGATGATGAGTACATTTTGAGCTTATAAACATTTACAAAAACTTAGTAGAATTTAGTTTAAAATAAATGGCAACAAATATTGGGAAAGCTGGTTAAAAAACAAAACTTTTTAAAAAATAAAAAAGGTTTTACGACTCTGGGAGCCACGACAGCCTGTTTTTTTAATCACTGTTAGGTTAATTAACAACATTTAGTGGTGAAATTAACCAATCTTTTTAACAAAACTTTCGACATCCTCTTCGATGCCTTCTTCATGGCTTCCGAGGTCTCAGTCTCCCGAGTCCCCCGACACTACTACACTGATTACTTATCAAAGCATTAGTACTGGTACTAGGAATAGAGGACGGGTCATTTATACCGTCGATGATGACGCGGCTTGGGTGGAGGTTGGCGTGGGATTCAGTATGGGGATTGGCAATGGGGTTGGCGCGAACATTTCTGACAGTAGGATTTTGGTTGACGGGTGGAGCGGATAGTATTTTATTTATGAGAGGTCTCCAAGTCGAAGGTAACGGCATACAGTTTTGTTTACCATCCCACTTAAAAGCAACTTACATGTTGATTGCCGTTTTATGGTACAGAATAATACAAACAGGAATCCAAAGGAATTTATCCGTTTAATCTGCTAGAAATCCTAGAATATGCTCAAGTTCCTCTGGAATTAATGATGAAGATATAACTCCCGAAAAGTCTCTTGATAAGAGCAGCAATAAAGAGACTTCGTAAAAAAATATTTGAAGAGATTACTCCTAAAGGCTTTATTAAAATGAAGAAGTACGCACTAATTAAAAAAGCTCAAAACCTATAAAAAAAACACAAAAATGTACCAGAAGTGTCACCATTTAAAAAAGATAGTACGTCAATACATTACAATAACGAATTTACATTATTATGTTGTTGGAAATTTTTATTCTAATTATTAATTTGATTTCATCTTTGTATTCTTCTGATCATAAAACATAAATGTTGAATAAATTAAAATACGTTTAATTCTCTGGCGTACGCCCTTGATATAACTGTCACATCGAGATCACAGAGGTCCAACTAAGTTTTTTTTTTCGCATATAATCACTACTAAATGAAATTTTTGTTCGACAAAAATGACATTAACATAGTGAGAAATCTCTATTGGAATCAACAGGCTGTGGTAACATTAGATGGATATAGCACGGATGCGCAACAGATAAGTAGAGGAGTGAGACAGAGCTGTGTACTTTCACCATTATTATTTAATACACTTGAAAATTGTACAGAAGGGACAAGATAAATGGTGAAAATATAAATAACATTCGTTATGCTGACGATACAGTCATTATCGCTGTAAGTGAGACAGACACAGTTGTGATACTGGGGAACAATTTGGTTTAACAATAAACACAAAGAAAACAAAAACCATGGTTATCAGTAAGACAGGCGAAGTCATTACAAGAAACCAGATAAAAAATGAAGATATTGAGCAAGTGGACAAAATGAAATATTTAGGAGTCTGGATTACGGAAAATCTGAATCCAAAATCAGAAATTCGCTCAAGAATAGATCCATCAAGAGCAGCCTTTTTGAAGATGGGGAAATTTCTGAGTGACCAAAGACTCAATCTGCAAATCCGACATCGAATGGTAAAATGTTATATCCACTTTATTCTTCTGTATGGTGTTGAAGCCTGGACTGTTAATTTTTACTTAATGATAAAACTGGAAGCTTTTGAGATGTGGCTTTTTAAAATAATTTTGAAGATACCATGGACCGATCATATTACGAATGAAATATTGTTACACAGAATGGGAAGAGACAGAGAACTGTTAACCACCACTAAAAGACGAAATACAGCATATTTGAGGCACATACCTTGTAGACGACAAATATCCTAGCTGAAATACATTCTGAACTGGACCGGGTTAAACAGAGACGCTCTTAAGAAAAGCAGAAGATAGAGACGAATTTGCAATAGTTATATTCATTAGTGGAGACGGCACTAGAAGAAGAAGAAGATGCTGTTAATTCTTAGTGACACCGATAACTTAAGCTATAATGTCTGTTATTATAATTTATGGGGTAGATACGTAAGTTTATGCATTGTTAAAATAATGATTAGTGAGTGCTCCTCGTAACATTCACAACGTATTGGTTGGTTTATTTCTACTTAGTATCTCTTTATTGTGTATTTAGTGTAATTAGTACTAGTTTATGTCTTACTTCTTCTTCAAGTTCCACTCCTATCAGAGATTGGAAATCATTCTGGCAATTATAATTTTATTGGTTACTCGCCTGAATAGTTCAATTGAACTGCATCCAAACCATTCACGGAGATTGCGTAGCCACGAGATTTTACGTCTTCCTACGCTTCTTCTACCTTTGATTTTACCCTGCATTATATTCCTTAGTAGTTCGTACTTTTCACCTCTTATTATGTGCCCCAAGTATTCCAATTTCCTGATTTTTATGGAATTTAAAACTTCGGATTGTTTTCCTAGTTGTTCGAGAACTTGTTCGTTTGTTTTGCGATCCATCCATGATATTTTCAAAATACGTCGGTAACACCACATTTCGAATGCTTCTAGGTTTTTAATGTTGGATTTTTTAAGTGTCCAAGCTTCAACTGAAAATATAACATCGAAGCGTTCTTATCCGGAGAGATATATTGATATCGCGATTACAAAAAAGTTTTCTCATTCTATTAAAAGTTGACCGCGCATTTTCAATGCGGCATCTTATTTCTTTTGTCTGATCAGTATCTTCTGTGATCCATGCTCCAAGGTATTTGTACGAAGATATTTGTTCAATTTCTGTATTATCTAGTACTAGCTTAACTTTGATGTTTTGCGATTTTGTAAATACCATGAACTTGGTTTTCTTCAAATTGATTTTTAGTCCATAATCGTTGCAATATATATTTAGTTGTTTAACAAGGTGTTGCAGTTCTTCTAGTGTTCCTGCCAGAAGGACGGTATCGTCAGCATATCTTATGTTATCAAGTGGCTCACCGTTTATTATCTCACTGATCTCGGCAAGCGCTAATTCTGAGATGGCTTCACTGTATAAATTAAATAACAAGGGTGATAAAATACACCCTTGGCGGACCCCACGGCGAATCTGGATATCCTTGGTCAGTTCGTTTTCAACTTTCACTTTTGCTGTTTGATTCCAATAGAGGTTACAGATGATTCTAATGTCTCTACTGTCTATGTTTTTATTTAATAAAATTTCTTTAAGTCGAATATGCTGCACTCTGTCAAATGCCTTCTCAAAATCAATGAAACAGGCATATACTTCCTGATTAATATCTAAGCATCTCTGCGAAAGAACACTTAATGCAAACAGTGCATCTCGTGTTCCGAGTCCTTTCCTAAATCCCATTTGTGTATTACTTATGCCTTCATCTAATTTCTTATGTATTCTATTGTGAATTACTTTTAAAAACAATTTCAAGACATGACTCATTAAGGCTATGGTGCGATGTTCATTGCACTCCTTTGCATTTCTTATTTCTTACTACATTATTTTTAATAAAAAAAATCATAATACACGAGTTTACGTTTTTACTTACACATTGTGAAGATGTCAACTTTTACAAGCATTTCAATCATTTGAAGTGATTTTTTTTAATTATTATTCTCATTGATCTAGGAAAATAACAAATTTCTTTTACCAAACTTGGTACATTTGAATTAAAAATAACAATTTTTTTAAACCTGCAAAAATATACAGGATATCCCATTTAAATTAGGTAAGTTGAGGGTATTTCTGGTGAAACAGGAAGTACCGTAGTAACAAAAATTATCGCATTAGATGTGTTATATGTCATTGTAATTTTATTCAATTTTTTATAATAATTAAAATGTATACGTACCTTCTACTGAAAAACTGACATACGAAATATACGACAAAAAGTACATTGCTTTCGACATATGCGTGAATATTATTAGAAATCCTCCAACAGAGAGAAAGAAACATAATCCCACCGCTCCAAAAAATATTCCGTTCTGAAATAATAAAAAATGCAATAAACATGATTATAAAAACATGTAACTTTTTGTAAAGGGATATACAGAAACACAAAAGGTTTAATTTTTAATTAAATATCTAGTTGGGGATGGTATTTAAGAGTTCCTTATTATTGTGTTTATATTATTCTGTTAATAAACCATAAATATATAATTAGCAATACTAATTTTGCAATTTCTCATGATTAGGGTAGATCGGGGGAATCCCAACATACGGGGCAATACGGACACAGTGGATTTTGGTTTTATTTTTAGTTGAACACGTCACCATATAGTGCTGCTACTTAGCGAGTGACACCACAGTTAGCGTTCAGTTAGTTTCTGTCATCCGAGACAACTAGTTATTTTATTCTGAATTGTTATGTGTTTTATTAGTTTTTGATCTAAGTATTGACTTCTCTACAAATGAAGGTAACTCTATAACAAATTATATTATTATAAAAACACTTAGATAAATAGAAGGTGCAAATTATAAAGATAATTTTAGTATAGTTCATATTACATTTTAACATTGAGTCAAGTATGTAGAATTGTGTAACCGCCATCTTGTCCTATAGGGGTTATGCCGACACACCAATGGGGGAAATATCGACAAGTGTCGGTATTACACCAATGGGGAAATATCGACATGTGTCGGTATTACCCCATTTATTTTAAAATTAAATATGCAGTTATTTGATACCAAAGACGTTGCTTTTAATGTGTTTTAGATGGTGAGATCGAGAAAAAGAACAACGGAAAGGGGCAAATATGAATTGGTTCAAAGTGTACGATCCGTAAATAAAAAGTGTTGCCGCTTAATTAAATATTTCAAGAATTACGCTTCATGATCGTTACAAATCTAATTCTACCGAAAAACCAGCCTTCGGAAGGAAATCGTGCTTTTCAGCAGAACAAGAAGCTATATTAGTTAATCACATCAAACAACTATCAAACCAGTTTTATGGCATTACTTTGCAGCCATAATTCTAATATAGATACCAAAATGACTAGGGAGGACTGGGTTTTCGGATTTCGTAAGAGAAATGCTACTGTAAACCTAAGACAACCCTCAGCAACAAGTATGGACCGAGTTATTGCCTTTAACAAATCTGAAATGGATTTATTTTTTTCCAATTTGGAAGCAGTTTACAAGAAACGTCCTTTTAAGTCCACTAGAATATTTAATATCAGGTGGGCTACTAAGGGCCAACATCAGGTGGGCTCTGTCACAAGTTGGGCAGAAACATTACGATTGTCTGTACTTTGAATGCTTCATGTGCATACATACCGCCCATGTTTATATATCCTAGGCAGAGAATGTCATCTCAATTAGAGAAACGTGGATAGCTGGAGCCATTTACAAATGCTACCATAATGGCTGGTCAAATAAAGACCATGATAAAGGAGTTTCAGGGTTTAGTGCTTCAGGGATCTTACTTGTCACTAAACAAAACACTCAAACTCCAGTCATCTTTTACTCTGAAAATGTTCATGAACCAGCACTTAGTGCAACTCTTCATGAATACAATCATAATGTCACTGGGGAGCTTGCAAGCTCTAACGAGACTTATGTCAAAACTTGTCAGATTTTAAAACATAATCCAAAAGATGCGGTACAGAAATTTGGAACCAAGACAATAACCAGCTTAGATTTACGTGGGATTTATGAAAATCCATTATCTGGTAGTTCGGAAGCGAATGTTGTACTAAATTGAGAATCTGTCTGATTTCAAAGACATTTTGGAATCAGTATCACCTTTTCCAAAATCATTTAATGATGATAAACCAAATCCAAAAAATTTCAGAAAACAACACTCAGTAATTATGACTGGTTTTGGAAGACACAAAGAAGAAAAAAGAAATTAATGACTTAAAAGCCAAGCGTAGACTAGAAAAAGTTATACAGGATCCAAACATTAACCCGAATCTGAAGCTAAAAATATTTGAACAGAGTGTTGAAAAGAGTGAAAAAAGTAAACAATTAAAAGTATCTGATTATCTTGTATCTAATTATCTATGTATCTGATTATCTTGTTTTCGTTCAAGTATTTAATGTTTTCGTATATAGCAATACCATCAGTTGTCTCAATATTTTTTTATTATTAGAATCGGTATTACCCCAAATGTCTGTCGGAATTACCCCGGTGATCGGGGAAATACCGACAATTTGCTAAGGTTAGGGAAATATATTTTTTAAATACGTTATAGACATTATTTTACTAATATTACATATACAAAGGATGCGGAAAATTCTAATTATAGTATAGGCAATTTCATAAAAAAAACTAACCAATATAGAATATATCTGAAAATTGTCTTAAGGTGTCGGGATTCCTGGTCTTCTCTCAGTGTGCCTTTATATATCTCTGAAAATCCTATGAAAAACTTAACATAATTAATTTGTCTATGTATTTCTAACTGCACACTATTTAGTTAAAAACTCATTCACACTGTTTTACAACTAGCTGTTAACTTTTACATCTGTATAGAAGTGATATTCGGTAAAAATTACCTTGCTGAATATAATTTATATCTAATTCTTCCAACAATGTTTGTTAAAAATGGTGGCTTAATCAAACTTTATATTGACAATGCCAAAAATTATCACAGCTTTCACCATGGTGACTAGTTCACTACTACAAGACGTTTAAATTTGTGATTCCATGGCACACTTCAATTACTATTCTTTTTGATGGTTCTATATAATTAAATATTATTAATTAACCCCCTCTGTGGCTCAGTGGTAAGAGTGCCTACCTTTGAACGTATAGGTCGTGAGTTCGAATCTCACCTGGGTGGAGAAATTTTTGTTTATTAAAAATTAATGGATAAAAATAATTTCTATCCTTGTGCGATCGGTACTCATCGGAGGGACCGCAGACGTTCGGATACAATTAGCGCCTCAAGACAATGACGTCGACTTTGCTAAGTATCAAGACAATTACTCTACACCTACACACACACTACACTGGGTACTTGATTGTAAAAATTCACTATATCATGCCAATGACCATTAGTTGTCGACGCATTAAAGTCAATAAAAAAAAATTATTAATTAAATATAGGAGCCATTAAGACTCTGCCTTTACTACGTGCAGTTAAAGTGCATGTGGAGCTATTAGGCTAGGGAAAAAAGCAAAAATGGTACACTGTTTGTGACACTAAACCGGCCAGAAAACGACAGTTGTTTTGAGTCATTTGTTGTAAATAATTAGTTATTACAAAATTAGAGAGTGATAAAATTTCTATCCTTATTTGTTGCTTAGAAACATGAAAAATATCAGAAATTTCGGCTTTTTATAAATAATGATAACTTTTCTAAAAATTAACTTAGAACCTTCATACTACACAGAATATTGGTTTTCGTACAGCTTAAAGTATGATCAAAATTTCAAAGCGATCCGACAAGATCAGTTCAGAAGAAGATTTATTGCATCAATATTATTAAAAAAAAAATGAGGAAAAGGATTTTAAATATTGCAAAATTATTGGAAAACATATGTGGATCTTTTGCTTATAAACAATTGGAATACATTTTTAACTGTTGCCTACACGAAAATTATTTTTTTATATTTAGAAAGATTGCATTTTATTACAAATTTAAAAACAAATAAAAAAAGAAAAAGTTGTATCAGATCAATTTGTAACGAAGTTATTCCGTTTTTTTTTTTAATTTACAGCAGCTTTGTTTATCATAATTAAGATATGTAATTGGCGTCATTTGAAAGAACATACTTAAAAGTTCAACAAGATCGTCCACAAAGCTTTAAAATGTTGACCTTAAAATCAACCTAACTTTGAACCTAGCTCGCGGGAGTTGGAAAGGAGATGTTAACTATATCTCTGGTTCTTGTTTATGGATTTTGATGTTTTTTTCTAATTTGTATGTACTTAATGCATACATTTCGAATACGCATTATCTAAATAAATAAATTGTTAAACAAACATTTGAGGTATTTTCATTGTAAAACAAATATTTATGATTAATATATACTTGTTTTTAATAAACTTTGTAAATAATTTGTTTATAACAGATTTTATAAAAAAAACAAAATTATCCTATTTAACTCTTTCTAAAAATAGTATTGGTTTATGTAAATAAAATTTTTAAACAAATTGGAAATAAAAAATCACAAATAAACTAGGTTTTATTTCTTGCTAAACATGATGAAAAACACAAGAATAACTTTGGTCTTAGAATAACTAAAATCATAAAAAAAATCGGACATACTTTGCACAAAACTACAAAAACATTTTTTTTTATAATTTGTTTAAAAATTGTTAAATAAATAATAATAAATAAATAACTAGTAAAAATCATAAATATTTATGTTTTACAATAAAAATTACCTCAAATATATCAAACATAAATTATTTAACAATTTGTTTATTTAAATAATACATACATAATATAATAAACGCATACAAAATATAATAAATACATACATAAAAGAGCACCATCACGCAATGAGTGGTTCGATGTTCAGTGCGAGGATATTACAACAAGAAAGAACAATGCATATAAACTGATGCAGCAAAGAAGAACTCGAGAAAAAGAACAAAAATATAAAGATCTCAGAAGAGAAGAGAAGTACATCCATCGGGAAAAAAAGCGAACTTATGAAAATAGATTATTGGAAAACCTTTAGGCATTAAAAAAGGAAAATCAAACAAGAAAATTCTATAAAAATCTAAATAATGCAAGAAAAGAATTTAAACCAAAGATCGGACTATGTAAGGATAAGGAAGGGCATATACTCAATACAAAAGAAGAAGTATTGAAAATGTGGGTGGAACACTATAAAGAACTACTTATTATCTAAGTAGAAGATCCAAATCAACCACCCCCAGGAGCAAGCTACAATACACCATTGGAGCCACCATCAATTCAAGAAGTGCGGGATGCAATAAAATACAAATACAAAAATAAAATAAAAATGTGGAGGTGCTACTATTACTAACCATAAATATAAAATCATACTGAGAGCCTGGAATGAGGAACAAATCCCGGAAGAGTGGAGTATTGGGATCGTTTGCCCGTTACACAAAAAGGGTGATCAATTGAAATGTAGAAACGTATAGGGGAAATGAAATGTATAGGGGAATAACCCTTCTTAATACAGCATATAAAATATTTTCGAGTATTTTATATAGTAGCCTGAGTGCATACATAGAGGAGCTTCTTGGCGAATATCAAAGTGGTTTTAGGCATGGTCGATCAACAACAGACCAAATCTTGGTGCTAAGGCAAATACTGGAAAAAACCAATGAATTCAATATCGACACATACCATCTTTTCATAGATTTTAAATCGGCCTATGATAGTGTCCTAAGAAATAAATTGTATGAAGCCATGGATGAATTTCACATCCCCGATAAACTGATAAGATTGGTGAAGGCTACAATGCGGAAAGGTGTTTGCAAAGTCGAACTACAGGGCGAACAATCACAGGCATTTGAAACGCATGTTGGGCTGCGACAGGGAGATGCGTTGGCGTGTCTTCTTTTTAACATAGCTCTGGAAAAGGCGGTTATGGATGCCCAAATAGACAACAGAGGAAACATTTTTAATAAATCATCCCAAATTTTGGCATATGCAGATGATGTTGACCTAGTTGCCCGTACAACACGCAAACTAGAAGAAATGTATACCACCTTGTCAAATGCCTCAAAAAATATGGGCTTGCAAGTAAATGAGGAGAAAACTAAGATATTGGCATTAACACCCAACAATAGAGCCAAAAATATCGGCCACCAATTCATTGTTGATAACTCTATCTTTGAAGTGGTGGACAAATTCACATACTTAGGCTCCCTGATCACCAAGGAGAACGCCATGACGGAAGAAATCAAGCGAAGAATAATCTTAGCAAACAAATGCTATTTTGGATTGAGTAGACATATGAGAAGCAGAAACTTAAGCCAAAAAACAAAAATAACTATTTATACAACCAGTGTTGACATATGGATCGGAGACATGGACCACTTCCAAGGCAGATGAAAACCTCCTGCTTATATTTGAACGAAGGATTCTGAGAAGAATATTCGGTGGCTTCTGTGAAAATGGTGTTTGGAGAAGGAGGTACAACTATGAGATATATCACATATATAAATATATATTTGGTGGTAAAGACGTAGTATCTCTCATAAAAATAGGAAGACTAAGATGGGCAGGACATCTGGCAAGATCACCGCAGAACAACCTCCCTAAAAGAATCCTTATGTCACAACCTGTGGAAGGTAAAAGTAGGGGTAGGCCAAAACTCAGATAGAGGGATGGTGTAGATGAGGATGGTACAAAAATAGGTGCAGCAAACTGGCAACAGTTGGCAATGGATAGAACTGACTGGTATAATAGACTTGGGAAGGTCGAGGCTTTTTTATAGGGTTGTAGCACCAATAATGATGATGATGACATAATATAATACATACATAATATAAGAACCAAAGATACAGTTAACAGCTCTTTCCCCCTCCAACGCTCCCGACTCCCGAGAGTTTCATAGCTGGTCGATTTTGAGGACCATCTGACCGTTTGAAATATTGATCGTATTTTAATAAAAACAACACCCAACATTCTGTGTAATATGAATGTTCTAAGTTTTTCTTTAAGTTTTTAAAATTTATAAAAAACCGAAATTTTGTAACTTTCTAAGCAACAAAAAAGGATAAAAACATTTAAAAACGCCATTTTGAAAGTTTTTATATGACTTATAAGCTTATTACTCTTAAATTTGTTTCAAATTTTGCTTCACTTTTTGCTGATAAACAAAAGCAGTGAAAATTAACCGTTTTTGATAATAACTAGTCGTCTTCTTGGCTTTTTTTATGATTTGTCTTAGTACAAATACGGCGTCCACGCAGAATCTTCCGGATATGAATCCTTGTTGTTCACCTTATAAAGTTGTTAGTTTATTGATTTTGTTGGTTAGGACTTTTGTGGTAAGGTTAGGTGCAGTGTTTAGTAGATTTATACCTCTATAATTGTTGGGGTCTTCTTTATCTCCTTTCTTGAACATTGGTATCATTATGCTGTTTTTCCATCATGCGTCTGGTATCTTGAAGTGCAATATTAGTTTTTGTATAAGTTTTGTCATCTCTAGGGTAGTACTTTCTTCTTCGTGTTATAGAAACTCGGTGGTTATTCCGTCTGGTCCTGGCGAATTTCTATTTTTAAGTGAATTTATGGCTATGTCTACTTCCTGAAAACTGATTTCTATTTCGTGTCCTAATTCAGGTATGTTATTGTGTTGATTATTATTTTCCTTTTCCTTAAACAGTTTCGTAAGATATCTTTCCCATTCGTTTGCTGGTATGTTATTGTATTCATTCAAGTCTGCCATTTCCTTACATTGGTTTCTTATGAATCGCCTTATTTGTTTTTGTATACCGTAGAAGTCACTTTTCATCCTTTTGTAAACCGTTCCCAATGTTGTCTTTTATTTATTTTCTGAACCATGGTGTATTCTTGTTGTTTCTTTTGTCCAGTATGACTTTGCGTTTTTCTAGAGCTTCTGTTGCTGCTTCTTCAATGTTGTTTTTAGTTTTCTCCCAGCTCACGTTTATAACTTCGATGTCGTTTATTTGTTTCAGCTATATCTTCTGTGCCAGCCTCCTTTGGTACATTTCTCTTGTAGAGTCATTCCACAGTGATTCTACATTAAATTTTTCCTCGATGATTTCCTGTAGAAAATGTTTTGGTGTTATTTTCATTCTTATATTTGCTAGTACTAGTTTGTGTTCACTCCCTGCGTTTGTTGAGTTTAAAGTTCGAATATCTAGAATTTGCTTTGGGTGGATTTCTCTATTAGTGACTATAAAATCAATCACAGATTTGTGCCCCTGGTGTTTTTAAATGTATATTTATACTAGAGCTTATGGTCGAAAAATGTATCATTGATTCTTAGTTCGTTAAAGTATAGATATTAGACATGAGTTCTCCATTTGCGTTGACATGGTTTTCATTACATCTTTGTTTTACTACTGGAACTATTTCATTTCCGATTTGTGCATTAAAGTCACCCATAAGAATTAAGGGTTCTTCATGAGGTATTTAATCCAGGATGGTTTGCAATTGTTCGTAGAATGCCTCTCGTTCCTCTTTAGGTTTGCAGTCCTCGGGGCTATAGATATGACATTTAATTTTTGTTAGTCCATTGTGATGTTCATATGTATTATTATTTTGGAGATATAACGGCAGTTATTTATAATGTCTTTAAAATTTTTATGGACAAGTATAGCTACGCCTGCTCGTGCTCGTTCTTCTTTCTTCACTCCGCTGTAAGCTTTGGCCTTTACCTTTCTTCTTGGTTTCTTGGATTGCACAAATGTCTATGTTTTTATTTATCAGTTCTTCTATTATCTCTACGTATTTGTTGTTAAAAGAAGTAATGTTCCATGTTGTTAATCTGATTGTGGGCTTATTTTTCCTTCTCGTTTTCCTTTTTTTTTCGTGGTTCGTCATCTTGGATTCCGTCTGGTTCCGAGATTTTATATCGGTTTTGAGCCTTGGTTTCTTTTACAATGATTACGATGCTAACCATAATAACTAATCAAGTCCAAAAAATCGACTGCAGGAAACATATAGGTTCTTGTTACAGAGGTCCATACTACTTAAAACAAGTGTAGTTTGCCTAGCTGGGTCAGTGTTATGAAAAAAACCTTATTTCCCTGCTCTATATTAAATGTAGCCTCTCATAGCACTAAATTTTTCGCGTGGATTTTACTCTAGATATATAAAAAAATACTTACAACTGGACTAGTGATTGTCCCCAAAATCAATCCAAATCCTGACGAGGACAATGATGCTAGCACTAGAACAAAAAGTACACTGAAAAACCGACCAACCTCCAATGGTTGGTCACTAACAAAATAGCATCCAAGACAGTAAACAGTGCTAAATAATACCTGCAAATATAAAATCAGCAATTAATAAGTTTATTAAGTTGAGTAGTCTGTCATGCAATGTTAGTGACTACTAAAACATTATTAGTTATATTTTTTTGGTTAGATAATTACATTAATATATTAATAATTCTAATAATACATCCATTTAGTAAGATTTAAGTTAATGTATGAATGCAAAACAAACATAATGCTAACAAGAAAAATCTCGTAACAGAAATAAAAAAAAAGCTTTGGTAATTCAGGCATTGCTACATATTGAAAACACAATATACCCATGTTATCGGTTTTTTTCGGAAGCCGTCTATTATAAGACGATCTTACTTCAGCCAATTGGCTTATTGTACATATCCCCAACGTCTTAAAAGGTTAAATACTGTACACTCACTGTCTTTTCTTATTAATAGTTTTGATACCAAGTCTTGGTATTTCTATAATATCTTGATCTGTATTAAGTTCTACTTAAAATTTTCATGGAATTTGTATGTTTGATTTGTGTTTCGTTTTCTTCTTTTCGATCTCTTCTATTCCTTGGATGACCAGATTCTTTTCTCTTAAATTTTTTTTTCTAACACTACCTACCTATCTTTCTTGAATTTTCAGTATTGTTTGAAGTTCTTGATTCTTTTCTTTTAAATCTATGTTTTCTTCTGTTAGTTGTGCCATATCTCTAGTAATTGTGTCGATTTTGTCTTCCATTCTCATGTTTTGTTTTTCCAGTAAATCAAACTTTTATAGTTTTTTAAGCACCTCATAAATTTTCTGCTCCATTTCTGTACTATGTAGAGTTTTAGTGAATGGTCAACTTTATTGCATCGAACCGTAATTACTATTTTGAACAAAAACGTTACTTACAATATAAAAATGTATTAAAATTGATTATACTAAAAACTTTTACTATAATTTTAAAGAATAATTTAATAATTTTGAACTTTTCCCTTTATTATATGACTGGAATTATATTTATAAGCTTCCTTTGTCTCAAACTTTTCTTTGTATCTATATTTATAGCGTTTGACGTAGGTATAGCGTTTATTTCATAGCGATTTCGAAATAAAACTGATCATAACTCGCTTATGCTCTGATCAAGCGGAACGTTCTAATTGTCGTCTCGTTTTCATTTATGTAATGTAGGTGAAGATCGTAAAATATTTTTAAATGATATTGATATTGAAAATATCAGTTTCTACAGAAACAAAAATAAAAATTAGACATATGAAGATGAACTTAGTTAGAGGCAGATTAGAGAGAAAAATATGGAAATTTATAACACGAAAACCCAAACATAGGTCAGATTTCAGAGGCGACCACCTTTACAGCAGATGAAAAAGAACACAATAAAAAGAAAGAAAAGTACACAATAAAAAAAAAGAAACAGAAGACGAGATCAATAAAAATCGGTCGAGAAGTAATCGATGCAACAGGACATAGGACACGAATATTGCCAACATGATTAATAAATTAAAGTATAAATAATGAAGAAAATAGTGAAAAGCACCATAATACACAGGAAATTATAAATTTTTCATTATACATTTTAATTTTATGTTTGTATTCGTGATTAGTGATCATTCAAGTAGTTATAAAACCCACAATATTACATTATTCACATTAACATTATTTCCAATGCCACTCGTTAACCAGTCTAACAATTTGTATTACCTACACCACTGATTAGTACTTAATATCTACGGTAATTAACTAAATACGTACATATAGCACAGTGCATATTCACAAAAAATAATTTCCTAATTTTTAACACCGAGTCATCGAGAAAAATCTTATTAGTGTATTGAGTGTGTTGTGGTATTTAAATGTTTTCGAGAATATCTGGTCTTTCAAGGTGAACCATTTCCATAGTGTTTCACCAATGACGTATAATATATAGACTCGGTGAACGCTTTAAAAAGTGTCCAAAACATGAATACCTTTGTTATTGTTTATTGTTTTGATACGAAGATGCACGAAGTTCATGATTTCTTACGAAGCATCACGAAGTTGATCTTGTGTTTGAAAACATCATGGACGTATGAAAACATTTTCTCCATTTTGTGTGACAAGCAAATTTTATTTTAAATTGTTGAGAGTTATTTACTTACTATTTTAGTAAAATGCCATACTATTTTATCAATATAATTAGTTCTCTTATAGACGGGAGCAAAAAGAAATCATAAATATTTAATTTTAATTAAAAAAATAATTATTGTCGTTAAACATATAAATGAACACGCCGCTGTTGTGATAAACATACCTTCAACCTTGAGCCGAGATCTTTCGGACACTCGATTCTATAGCGAGAATAGGGGACTGCGTAGTCTATATATTATACGTCATTGTGTTTCACAGTCTATAATGTCAAAAATATTCCCCCATTTCTTATCCGGAAATCATAGAAAAACATGTTGAAAGTCTTCAATATCTTTAGATGAATGTTTAAATACTCTCCATTTCTATTTTTGTGACCGACACACGTTGTAAAAATACCATTTTTTAGATAATATAGTTTCAGTAATAAAGCATATAATTCTTAATAAAAGTTTTTAAAATTCCATAAAAATTTTCAGATCCAATTCCGCAGATAAAAATGTATAAATATTTATATATATAATATAAAACTGCTTCCTTCTGAACTCCTGGACAAAATTAACGCACCATTCATATTTTTCTCAATAATCTTTATTTATTGATAATTTACTGTACGACAAGTTGCCTATGGACACCGTTATGGACCTTGTTTGACAGTGACAGTTGTTATATAAGCTAATAATAGTCTTGTTTTAACAATAATTTGTATTAAACTTCGTTTTAGACTAAAAGTGAGTTAAATTTTTCATAAAAAGTGCCGATGACAGCAAAGTGCTTGTGAGAAACAAGCTTTTTATTGTGATATTGTTTATCACTTGCATGTTTGGAAGTTAACCCTTTAATGCCCACCGTATTTTATGTAATACGTGAGACACTGCTACATATTTCGCCATCTACTAGTCAGAAAAAAAAAGTATAAATTAGCTGTTTTCCCAATATAGGTTACAGAGTAGATGATAGAAGGTAACTGCTTATCATAAAATGAGATATTTATAACCGCATGGCGGTGAAGAGTGATTAGTTTTGCGTGAGTGTGAGAGTGAAGTATTCTTAGGTTATATTATAGTACACCGTTTTCATTTTAGTAGAGTTTGTATGACTTTCTTAGCTTGTTTGAAAAATCTTTTGTACTGTTCAACTAGAAAGCCTTCTAAATATCGAATAGTAATATAAATAGTATTGAAATTTATACTGGTGAGTATTTTGAAGATCTTTGATTCTTGCGTATGATATATAATATGCTGGGCACTTATGGTAACTAATCAATATTGTTTCTGTTTTAGTAAAAAATGACAAAAAATATGATCCTAATAATCCCAAAGATGCAGAGGAATTGTTGAAAATATATGAGAGTTTAGAAGATGACGATACTTTGGCTAAGGAAATTGACCAGTGTGATGAAGTTCAACTCACGTTGTATTATCCAAATGATGGAAATGATTCTGACAGAGACGATGCCGGAAGTGATGAGGAAGATCAGTTCAATTACACTTTTCAAAGTATTGGCCGAGGTACACTGTCTCAAAGCATGGATATTACAGCTGTTTCTCGAAAAAATACAGTAATTGAGAAAACAGTGATGTCAAATACAACTGTGGCTAAAACTCACGAATCAGGTAAGATAAGAAAAAGGGAGGTTGCAGAAATTTCACAAACTTCTGAAAACAGAAAAAAATCTATGAAAAGAATCGATCGTAAGTGGGAAGAAAAAGAACTAGAGAAAGGAGCCATAAATGATGTTTTCAAAAACAATATAGAACCCTATATGCTAAATGAATGAAGACAACAAAATTTGAAGCCAATGGATGTGTTTAAATTATTCTTTGATAAAAAATGTATGGACTATATTTGCAAAGAAACGATAAAGTTGCTGATGAAATTCGTTTGGATAATGTGGGTTCTTTGGTTGGCAAAATTGAAAAATAACGAAGGTGCGGCAAATGTGGCAAGTGTACCAAATATCGATGCATTAAATGTAATGTAGGACTTCATCCCGAGAAATTTTTTGTCAAATATCACACGTTGTAAATATTATAAAATAGAATATATCTTATGAAATATTGTGTCCTTCATTGCCCAGCGTATGATATATCGTACGTCAAAAAAAAAGACAGTTACATAGAAAAAAAAACGTAAATTTTGCGTATTTCTATTAAAAACAACCTCTCTTTATTTCATTCTGAAGTTTTGATTTAATTTTGATAAAAATTTAATTTTGGGCATTAATGGGTTAATTTGCATAAAAATCCAATAAAAAATGAACCGCCAAAAAAAAGTTGTCAATGGACGAGGCAGTGTGAGCATCGACTCTCCTGGATGAAGGATATTCAATGCGATACGTTACATGATTGTTAGAAAGACATCATTGCAGCATCAGTCGCAAGGTGAGGCGACATAATAAAACAGAGTCGTACCATGGAAGACCAGGGCAAGGGCGAAAACGTTACACTAATCAAATTGATGATCGTTTTTTGAGACAACGTGCTCTCAGAGATAGGAGAGTCACCAGAAATTTGCTAAAAGCTAAACTAACAGATGTTCGAAATGTCGCGATATCGTCTCGAAGAGTTAGAAAACGTTTAGATGAAGCAGAATTGAGCAACAGGATACCGGCCAAAAAACCATTGCTTACTAGAGAACATAAGGTTCAGAGATTGAATTTTGCAAGATTGCATCAATATTGGACCATCGATGATTGGAAACGAGTTCTTTTCTCCGATGAGACTAGAGTAAGCCTAAAAGCTCCAGATGGTCGTGAGCGTGTCTAGCGAAGGCGAGGAGAAAGGTTTGCCAGCTTCAATATCTCTCCTAAAGTACCTTTTGGTGGTGGCTCTAAAATGTTTTGGGGAGAATTTGTTTTGAAGCTCGTACGGAGTTGGTCTCCATACGTACGAGGTCTATGAATGCCCATTATTACT